ATCTATTTATTGATGAAATCTAAAAGAGACCAACCATCGTCAAAGGATTTTATAGATATTTTAAAAGAATTAAAAAACTTGAATTTATTTTGTCTTAGTTTTGGATACAACGTCGCAAACATTTCATGCGTCAGTCTATCTCGTAATATTGGGTGCACCCAAAATTCTCTTTGCCTCCGCCGTCGTCTTTTATAGCGACGATAGAGGAGCCACACACAAGCAATCACTTCCACATCCATTTGCAAACCGAGCCAGTGCGCACGCTCCGCTAAACGCTCGTCAAACGCCGAGCTAACGCGCGTTAAACGCGCGTTAGCTCGGCGTTCGACGAGCGTTTAACGCGCGTTGAAAAACGCCTAGTGTGTACAGGGCCTTAACCCAACCGTTCAGAATTTACCTGTATGTTTTTATGATAGTTTTCTGTATAGTTGATAGGAGTTTTAAAAAATCCGTTAAAATATTTGATATTTTTATTCTGCTCCCCGATTTTATATTACAGTACTCACGGATTTAATGTTAAACCAGTGATATTACGATTTCGTATGTCCCATCTTTAATTAAGGGAATGTAGAAAAAACGTGCACAATTCTTGTATAATGTTAAAAAATTACCTGTTACTTTGACAGCATCATTTACATCTAAATTTAATGAATGAGAGAGATGCACGAGGTACAGAAAAAGCTCTAGAATTTATTTTCCTTAAATTTACGATTTATGTATTCGTTTCTCATAAAAATTTCTTTCCACTTTTTCCCGAGACTACAAATATTCGAGTACAAAGTAACCGGTTTCGACTTACTTCTACTTAAGAAGTAGTTAAATAATTAAGCGATTAGGGAATTGGGGACATAAACAAAACCCTGATGAAAGAGCCGAAATTTTACTTAAGAATTACAGTATTTTTAATCTAGGTAACTAATTTCATTGAAAATTACGGAGGCTTTTTCAAACATAACAAAGCTATATTGTCATGTTTTTCCATGCACAGATCTGCTATAATGTGTAATAGTCATGTAACAATAAGCAAAAATCAAATAGAGCAATATATAATCTTGAAAATTAACTTTCTAAGCATTCTTTATTTTTATTAGTTATTAAATAAATGCCAGTTAATTTTCAAGTTTTACATATTCTAATCTAGGTTTAATTTTCACTTACTCTATAACTGTATGTTACTCTAACTCATTCTATAAGCCTGAAACAGTCCATTTTAATTTTGGACAGAAATATTTTAAAGTAGTGTTAAACTTTCATAACACTGTTACATGTTGGTTTTATTTATAATTTGATGTTATACTTTAGGTATACAAAAAAAATTTACTTGTGAAATAAACAATTGAATCCAATATTCAATAACAACTATTTATAAATATCTAAAAAGTTTTTTCACTGAAATTTAGACATGGTAAGAATTTTTATACACAAAAATAGTCTCACCAATCAACATTATAATTACTTGTAGTGCATACAAGATTCTGACTTTAATATATTATAATATAATTATTTAAAACAATTAGTAAAGGGTTCTCCTACAAGGAAATAAAGCTCTTCCTTTGAACAACAAATAAAAATAAATATTAAATTTCATTTATAAATATTTAATATTCAAGGAACCCAAAATTAGTTAGCACTTAAGACTGATGTATTAATTCACTGAGAAAACCATACAATAAACATTGCAAAATATATGTATAGCAACAATATTTTACCTGTTGATAGTAGATCACATATATATTTAATCATAAATTTTTATATCAAATAGTAAAATTTGCTCTGTTTAAGTTTTAAAATAATATATAAAATAAAATTTTCATTATATGAAGTTACATTAACAGGATATACTGTACTGCATAATATTTATATTTACTTTTTATTATTTCATTTTTAACTTTTGTTTGCAAACAGATTAATCATCTCATTTTGAATTTTCCAACCTAAATAATGATCATATGTTTCTTTATCTTTGATACGTCTTGTGTGTTCTGCCATTCTTGCATCATATTTTAAAATCGATTAAATTAAACCTATGTAGTGCTCCGCCACTTATTGGTTGTTGTTAGTAATGTATGTGAATATTATTTGTATAGTTAATGCCCTTTGTACTGTACTTAGCGTAAGTTTTATTTTGTCACATTGTATCGGGTTTTCTTTGTTTGTCGTCCGTTCGGACACGTGTCCTTCTTACTCTCTACCTCCCTCCTTTGTGTGAAACCGGACCTTTTGATTGGCTACCGAAGAGGTCAGGTGAGATCAGCAAACCAGGGGTACAAATAGCAGGTCCACGTGTGAGAGAGCACCCCTTTTTTTTTCTTCCTTGGAGGAGTTCCGTTCGTGAAAGGTTCGGATCAGCGCCATCGAGAAAGACCGAAACCTACCGGAGTGAGAAGGGAGATTCGTTTCGAACATCGAGGGTAGGAGATAGAATCCAAATTCATCCGTGGTGTACTGTACACGGAAGGAATCGTGTGGATAGTACAATTAAGGAAGCTAGAGTACCGAAGGTATCGACGGAAACGAAAATTTCCCCACTAGTAATAGACGTTGGTCCGATGCCCGATCATTTAAGTGCCGGATTTCTAGTGAGTAGACTGTTCTGAAAATTCTTCACGTGTTATTGTAAACGAGTACGAACTTTGTTACGCTATGCGAAAGAGGGAGGAGAGTGAAGGGACTAAGAATATTGTATTCGGGACACGTGATTGTGTAAATGAGTTTTAGTTGAGAGTTCATATGAGTCCTCAGTTGCTGAACGCGAAACCCGTATTGAATAAAGAGGTACAGTAAAACCTCGATTATCCGGACTATATAGGGATAAAGGTAGTTCGGATAAGGAAAAATCCGGATAATCGAAACAAATATGTACTTTAATTAATTTGTCTTTTAATGATAATACAACACGTTTTCTTTTCGATGACGTATCGGTAATATTAAAAATAAATACTGTATTTAAATTGTGATCAAATTTTCAAGAAACAAACGTTCGTATTGAATTTGGACCACTACTGACCAGCGCTAACAGACTAGCTATTGTTTAAAAGGCTCTCTGGCGGCTCAAGAAGACGGATTTTATAAAATAAAAAGCAGTTGAAACTGCATTTTTATGAATAAAAATTTGACAAACTATTTATCGTTTTAT